ACATATATAAAATTTCAGATTCCCAATACCGATATTACTATAGAGAAAGGCACGCCAATATACATCTCTTTATATGGACTTGGAGTGGACCCAAGATTCTGGGACGAACCAGAAGTATTCAATCCCGACAGATTCGCCGAGAACAAAAATATTCCCGATGCCTACATGCCGTTCGGATCTGGACCTAGAATGTGCGTAGGTAAGTCATAATAAAATCAATGGTGATATTATTATTATTATTATTGTACAGATTTATTTTAAAAACATATATTTTCCTAAAAATAGAAAGAGAAATATTATATATATAATTATGACGTATAAAGAACAGTGGAAAAAATAAAGATAGCATAACATATATCAGTACAAGAAGTACATCAAAATCTTATCAAGATATCAAAATAAAAGTTTATTTTCTGTTGAGAGATTATCATTTCCTTTCCTTTGATAACACATACTTGTGATAAATAATTTTTGTTGTCGTATAATTCAATTAAACTTTAGTACATTCTTATATAAGCCATAAGAATAACCCAGAAGATTATTACAAAAAAATAAAAACTTAATTATTTAATTCTCTAATTATTCTTCATTAATCAGCATAATTATAATGATTTCTATTATACAATCATTTCATAATAATTGCTCTCAAATAATATTTTTCCTACTTGTGATCTTTCGAAGTAAAAATTATTTGAAATTTCTTGTAACTTGAAGTTCGATCAACTTGAAGTCTCATAAGATGCTTAGGGAAAATTATTACAGGTTTTTTAATCATTTAATTTATCAAGAAAGCAACTTAAACAACTAGTCTTCTAAATTCTTGTTTGCAGGAATGAAAGTGGGTCAACTACACGCTAAAGTCGTCTTAGCTTTACTACTGAAGGATTATGAAGTTTGGCAAACCAAAGAACACACAAGCTTTTTAGACCCACGGTCAACTTTTACAGCTTCGGGGAATGGAATTAATCTGCACTTCAGGAAGATATGATGACATAAAATATAAAATTTTACTAGATCGAAGTTATAACTGACAAAGTTATATCTGATAAAAATTAAAATAATAATTTCGATTTCGAAATTTGATTATCGATTAATAGGAAGGGTAAATTAGATTAGCTTTGAGTAGGCTAGCGTAGCTAAGTAGGCGTTGCAAGATCGTTGAATTAACGTTGAATTAGACGAGACACGTAGTTTGTCGATAAGCATTGTCTTGAAATT